AAGGACTATCACAGTCCGTTGGCACTAAGTGCGCTGCAAGCAGCCATGGGGCTTGAACCCACAACCTCCTGAATGCCACTTGCATGCCTAACCAATTGAGCTAGGCCGCTGGATGCGATTTTTTTTTCCCTTTCCCCCCCCCCCCTTTTTTTTTTTTTTTTAAGGCTAACCAATTCAATTACCTGTCAAATCTGGACAGGACGGCCTTTCAGGTCTTTTTTTATTGTCATTATAGTATTACGGGGAACCCCGTAGCAGCCACATCCGTGCTCAAGCCTCCAACGAGGGAACACGCGGGAGCTGCACCCACCAGCAGGTACGATACCTACAGCAGGTGGGCAATACCGGCCAGGGGTCAGCCAGTAGCATCAGGACCGAGCTTCTTCGATGGGCCAGTCATTGTGCCTCCCCTCCGGTCCCCTGCCCCTATGAACATCAGCAGTCTCTTCTCAATGCCACTCGGGGGGACCAACGACATATCTCTAGGTGGCGGGCGCCAAGCTTGCCCAGGAAGGTACATGAGGACAATGGGGATTGAACCCAATACCTCTTGAATGCCACTTGAGTGCCTTACCAACTGAGCTAGGCCGCTGGATAAATAGCGATTTCTGTAAGTGTAGGGATTGGGTCCTGCAACAAACACCAGCAGCACAAGGGGAAGAGAACAAAAAGACGGAGAAGACGAGGGGCAGGAGAGAGAAAGGCGGGCACGGGCCGAGCGCAAGTCTTTCACCGCCTATACTTTCTGAGGCTCCAACTGCAAGCCCTTGCAAGTAACCACGTATCCCAAAAATGAGATTTTTGTCAGGAAGTACTGACACTTTTCGAAAGCAACCTCGAGATCTGCGTATTTCAACGTGTGCAGCGTCCACTCAATGTGCTGGATGTAACCCTTATAGGTGTTTGAATACATCAGAATTGGCAGAATATCATCCATTACACAATCACATAGTAGTTAATAACACTTTGCGCCAATTGTGTTTTCCGCACAAAGTTCTGGCCATGTTGATTGCACGTTGAAATATAGCTGATGCATTACAAATGCTCATTGGGCATGAAATCCGTTGTCATGTCCCTTTAAAAAGGACGAACATTGTTTTCAGACGATCTTCCTTTTTAATGAGAAGGTGATGAAAACCATGACGGACGTCAAACTTGCTGGAAAAAACATGCACATCTAATCACATTCAGCAATTCATCAATCCGAGGGAGAGGATAAACATATTAAATCGTGATATCGTTTAATTTCCGATAATCAATACAGATTCAAATCTCTCTCATCTTCTTTGGTACAATCACCACTGGGAACGACCAAGGTTCACTCGCGGATTCGATCCACCAATTAGCTTCAAACTTCTTGACTCGTTGAAACACAGCAAGTCACTGCATCGGAGAGTATCGGTATGCAGTACAACTAATCGGTGAATGATTCCCTGTAAGGATTTCATGCTCAATTACATCCGTCATCCCAATGTCATGATCAATCACGCTCAATACTATTGTGTATGTAGGCAACACATTTCTTAAAAGCTTCCATATTTCCTTGGGGACATAAGACGAGACTTCAATCGTCGGATGAGTACTGAAGATATCGAGTTGGATCTTTACCCAATCAGGGTTATGCAGATACGTTCCTTCAAGTTCTACGCTGGAAAACACTGAACTGTGGGTTCGAACTCAGAAAACAGTGGCAAGCATTAATTTTGTGATTCCACGGGACTGATCATCTCAGTTTTTTTACCGTCTTTATCATTTTTCAAACTAGTGGTGTTTGGCGCAATCTTCAATTTCGTTAGCGCCGTCATTTCTTCCGTCAGGTCAGGAACATCGTCGATCGGTGTCTCTGCGTTTTCCTTAATTAGTCTTACTATTGTATCTTTCGTAAGTAAAGGTCGATGCGAAGAGGCCGAAAGGTTTAGATATTGTGTCATCTGTTGGTCTCTCTTTTCGAGGGATAGTGCGTCATCATACAAGGTGCGAGGGAGTTCCAAAAGGTTAGTCATATTTGTGATTTGCAGTATTGGTTCTCTAAGGAACGAGCCCACAATGATTTGCCTTTATGAGAGTATGTTAGGCACGTGGTCGCTAACTGTTTAGTCTATGTCGCCGATTGGGCCCCAATTCACGGACCAAACACTATAGTTCTTACGGAGGTAGAATGCCCCCTCCAACGTGTCAGTATGGATACTACAAATATTGACATGCCACCTGACCCTAATCGTTGCAAATATTCGATTTTAGTAGTTTTAATTCTAGCTACAGGAGAGAAGGTTAACAACATTCGTATTTTTCATCACCACTTCAAGACACCCTTCACCACTTCAGGATGCAGCCTGCCTAAATAGGTGGTTTTCAGGGTCTTCGGACCTTTCACCACTTTAGGACACCCTTCACCACTTCAGGATGCAGTCTGCCTAAACAGGTGGTTTTCAGGGTTTTCAGACCTTTTACCACTTCAGAACCATTCAGGATTTTCATAATATCAAAAACTCTCACTTCACCACTTCAAGATGCAGTCTGCCTAAACAGGTGGTTTTCAGGGTCTTCGGACCTTTCACCACATCAGGACCACTCGGGATTTTCAGACTGCCCCAAACTCTTACTTCAAAATTCTCGTTCTTTAATTTTCAGCTACTCGTTAACCGCTTGTAAGATACAGAAGAGATCTTAACCGATAATGGGTAGGAGTTTAAGGCTGAGGTAGAGGAACTGTTGACACGTAGAGGGGTCACCCTCGAATACACTGCTCCGCATATCTCTTAGTCCAATGCACTGACACTCGCGAAAAATGTGAACCGCATGATCAAAACCGCCCTACGCCGAAATCTAGCAGCTAATGATTTGCATTTCTAATCTGAGATAGTGTACCAAATTATTGGAATTAACTGGGCCACCCATCATGAATCGACAGGATTCACCCCTTTCCAGCTACGGACCATTAGTATTCCCTTGTCATCAACTGGGATGTCTCGGAAAATGCCGAGCCACGGGGAAAAGACACGTGGGTGTCCTTTAAGGCTAAGGGCAAACGGTATGCCGAATTAATGGAAAAGGCAGTCCCTAAATTGACCTGTAAAAGACAAAGGATAACCGAATTGGCCCACGACGGACATGCATGCAGTTGTGAGGACCGGAACGAGAATGCGGACCCTTAAATCTGGTATAAATTGGGAGATATGGTCCAACCACATAAATGTGCACGCGACGGAAAAATCACTCCCAAGTTTTCTGGCCGCTTTCGCATAGTAGTCGGGGAGGATACGAGGCGCATCGCTCCAGAAACGGGCGCCAACCATAGCTCTCTTCCTATTGTCCGCCATATCTCGTATCTTCCCCCTCTTCCTTTCCCTGATCCTTTCGCTCTTTCTTCCTCATCTCTATCTACTTAAGACAAAGATTTTGCCCTTCCTTCCTCTTCTTCATCTGATACCCTCTGCTTGCAGACACCGGCATGAGCTTCGTACTTGAACGAACCATCTCTGATAAACTTCTTCAACCCTCACCATCCTTGTAGTTTCGCCAAGTGGTTTCTCTGCGACTTAGTCCTGATTTACTGCGATTCCCGCAGCTATTCAACCGGTAAGCTAGGCATGCAGAAGTGGAAGTGACGATCTCGACGGACCGTGGATCAACGGTTATCTTGGTGGAGGCATCGACGTTTTTGTGTTTCTCTCGGCTAGGGCAAAGTGACGTGACAGTGATTGTCATGTTCAACGACGATTTGTGCAACATCGACACTCAACGGCACAACGATGTGATAAGGAGCCTCTATGACTGGAGACGTGAACTGGTGACAAATTGACAGCAGCGACTGCCCAGGCCAGACGATCAGGTGGTGGGTACGCAGTGCGTTGACATTTTCTTGTTGCGATCCAGTATATCGGATCCACCGGCCCCACTACTTCCTGCTCTTCGTCCTTTCCACCCTCCTCGTCGATGAATCGCCTCTCTACCTTCTCTCTCCCTTCTAATCTTCCAACTCTCTGACCATCTTGGGCCGATCCTCTACTTTCACTTGAAATCTGCCAAAAAGTCATCCCTCCCTTCTCATTCTCGATATATTCGTGATTGAGTTGGATTTGTGGCCACGAGCGTCTGTCTGCTCTCGATGAAGGCTCATTGGGCGTGCTGTTACAAAAATCAAGAGTGACAGGACGCGATCTTCCTGGATGAGGTTACTCTACTCCTAACCCAAGTGTGGTCGTCTGGTACGGTTGGACTTCTGGCAGCACTCCTCTTTGGTGAGGTGGCACAATGAGGAAGAGCAATTGTTGCCAACGAAATCTTGGTCTTCTTGGCGCAGATCATCGACGATCTGCCTCTAAGCATCATCTTTTTCAATCCTTGTGATCCAAACCAAACGGAGTCCGTAACCTTGGAGCGAATGCAAGCACCGACGGTCGACTGGACTAGCTGCACGGAGGACGTTTGACACTTCGTGGCTCAGCATGACCCAGCTGAGTGGAACTTTCTTGACTTGGACGAAGTCTCCCCCGACAACTCTGATCTGAGAGATTAATGGGCAGCTCACAGAGACAACAGGAAAGTGTCATCTGACGATGATCCAAATCAATAGCTCCCCCTGATGAGCAAGCAGAGGAAGAAGAAGAGGAAGCTGAAGTTGAGTCCACAACCGAAGAGGACGACAAGGAAGAAGAAGCAGAGAGTGAGGAAGAGGAGGACAAACCATCAACGGAGAAACTCGAAGTAGTACCGCCAACAAGTTCGCGACTAGCCATTCCAAAGGATTCCGGGCGGAATGCAAAGCTTCCTAAAGAAGTGGTTAGCCTGCCACGATGACACAACCAGCCGCCGCTGCCGCCGCCGGTCTTGCTCACCATCTCCCTCCTCGTCCCCCACCTCCTCGCTTCGTTCCCGTCCTCCTCACAACACGAACACTCTGTCCACGTCACGTCTTTCTCCACCCTCTTGATTACCTCTCCTTCTCTCCGCTCCCCCACATCGAGTTTCCCCTCGATTACCCCATCCTCGCCAGCCAACTTTTCCATTGTCATTGTGTTGCCCGCTTGCTCTGCGAAGTCCATCCCCATGCCGCTCCCTATTTTCCTCTCAATATCCTTCTCTTCAGTGTTGCACAGAGGTAGTACAACCACATGGAGTTGCATTGCATTATTTTGAGGACCTTCCCCGCCATGGAAGATTACGAGTCCCTACTCGATAACACCCTACTCACGATCCCCACCCTTTACGACGGATACCTCGCTTCACTCCCCCGACCCAATCGTCGATTC